CTCAGCCCAACCAGAGAATATTATTCAAATGCATATTATTTTATTAACTTGTTTATGCAGGTTATGAAAACTTTTAAGTTTGTTCTGGAATAAAATGAACTGACGTGTTTTATTAGCAAATGGGTTAGTAAATTTTCACATTCTGAGCACTAAATTTAGAACTCTTTGTAATTGGTTCGAAATGTCATTATATAAAATGAAGTTTGCTAAAACTGATGAAAATGGATTGCATCAATTTCATTATTTGAAAAAAAAAATAACCATTACTTATTGTTTACCCTAAAATGAAGTTGGATTTTGGAGACCAAAGTCAATATTATGTGCAGTGAATGTACAATTAATAATTATTTTATTGATACTTCTAGCTACTGAGTATAAGATCATTGTTTTAAGAAACAGGTTTAAATACCTACAGTTTTATCATCTTGTTTAGTGATATGATCATTTGCTGTAACCATATGGTTATTTGTCCCCTTTTTTCTGTGCATTTCTCTGCATGACACAAGCTTTTTCTGAGTTAAATTCAAAATATAATTAAACAATTTTACTATGAATTTATGTCAGTGAAATTAGCATTATAATGTATGTTATAATACGGTGTTTTATATTATTTAAGTTTTAATTCCTTTATTTCAAAAGAAACTTTAAAAATTCATAAACTTCAGTTTTGTTGTCACATGACATTTCTTCAGGCTATGTAACTTGAATACTTCTATATATAAACAGAAACTAGGTTAATTGCTTTGTTTACCCATTCTTCTTTCAAGCTTCTTAGGTCATGTTTGGAGAACAGAGAATTAAATTTCTTGGAACTCCTGACAGAAGCCATGCTTATTTTCTACACATGGAGTTGAGATTTCTAAACCTTCTGTATTTATATGAGCTAGATGTTTATAACCAATAAAAAAAAAGAATGTTTTAAAATACAATTTCTTAATGGTTATTTTAAAATTGGTGCAAAGAATTCCCTAGAGAAGTAGTCAAACCGCTCTTAGCATTGTTTCTGCTTTTGTTCTTGCTAAGCACTTGTTTCTCGCCTAGAAATATGTTAGTTAGATAGATATTTAAATTATACTTAAGTTTTACATTCTGGTTAATTATATGTTATTTATGTTTTAAGATGCATATTTGAAAGGTTTAATAATTGTTTTAATATAACTCTTTCTTGGTTCATGAGGGTTAGTGCAGTAAGCAAGTGCAACAAAATTCTGCCAAAGGCTAAAGTATCTCAACTGCTGATACCAATATTGGCTGGGGACACCCATTGACACATGTTGTGATAAATAATAACAATGCTAAAGGACAGGAAAGGAAAATAAAGCATTAAAAATATGCTGTATGTGAAAATATAAAGACATGCAATTAAGATTATAACCAAAGGCAGATCTTTTAAGATTATTTGAATAAAAAAAAAAAAAAAAAAAAAAAAAAAAAAAAAAAAAGGTAATTTACATTTTTCCTCTGTCTTACTTTCAAACATTTCATTGTACAATACATTGATGATAATAGCTACAATTAGTATATTAGTAGAGAAATTGAAAACCAACATATAAATGTTTACCTTAAAACTTTTGATATTTACTTAGGAGGTTCTAAGGATTATGCAAATAAAATGTGAAAACTATAAGGTGGTAAAAAGTATTTTAAACTTAAGATGAAAATCACCTTGTATTCAGAGTCTGAGTGCAAATAACTACAACAAATAAATAACAAATTTACTGGAAATACTTGACAATAATCTCATTCTTTGTTTACAAGATTCTTGTAACCTTTAACAAAATCTTACCAATATTTATGAGGGTATGTTTAGAAAGCTCAGAGTTATCATAAATATTCTTGAATTGTGTATCATCTCCATACGAGCAAGTGTCAAATGGATAAAACCGTAAGATTAAGCAGATTATATAGAAATGTACTTAGCTTTGAATTCTAGTTTTTTTATTTAAAACTGGCAGTTATGTGGTTTAGTATTTAGAATTTTATTTACACTAATTTGAAGATTGAGAAACCATCACAGTATATGAACATGTAATGTCATTTCACTGTAAGTCATGGATTAATGTTGACCACATTTACTTAAAAAGAAAAAGTGATTTTAAAATGTGAAGTTCTTAACTGTATGTATCTTTTTTTCTTTCTCTAAAAGCTGTTCTCATTTGTAAGGTTGAATACCAGTCTGTTCAAAGGTTGTGCCTGTAAAAAATGGAAAAATCTTCTCTGTTGTTCATATAAGAATAAAATAGATAGAAAAACATCCAGTTAAATTGTGTGTTATGCTTAAAATCTGGTAGAATTAGCTTAGCCACCCTTAGATTTGATGACTTACATCAGGTAATGGTCATTGATCATTAGTATTTAATTATTATTACACAAAGTGTCAGTGAAAAGCATGTGTTACATAAAGAATGGATACTAGACATGTAAAACTTCTTAATATTGTGAGAAAGCACAAAATTGGATCTAAAAATAAAATAATAAGATTTTGGTTTCATCACCTGAACTTTCTGTTTCACCTTTTTTAATTTAGATCGATCCATGCAGCTAAACCAGGGAAAGTTCCTTCAGAATGGCATGTAGGTATTGATAAATATATTAAATGGACAGAATAGTGTTTTGTAATTTATAATTACAGTGTATAAAGCATGGTAAGAAAGGATCTAGTCAGATAAGTTTTGTGTGAATGTTATACTAACTGATGTCAAACACACACTATCAGTATCATTTTGTTATTGGTGCTGCTCTTTTGATGATATGCAATTTTGAAGGTACTTATTTCTAATTTTTATGCAATACTGATTTCATTGTTTCATTGGAAAGTTTGAATAAAATTGCTGCAAACTTCATTTAGATTATCAAAGTCAAGAACTAAGAACCTTTTCCAGACCAGGAGGGAGTATCATGACATCTCCTTTTTCACTGTGAAAATATTTAATCAACTTGCCCAAAACTTAGTATATACTCGTTAAATAGTATCTAGTTTCTCTTTCTAAACATTCATAGTATTTCTTTGTATATCCAAATTTGTTGTGAGACACTGTTTTAAAAAAAAAAAACACATTAGGAATACTTCCTCTCATCCTAGGATATAATTATTTTTGTGAATTATTATATTTATTAACATATTTCAAATGATACTTTATTTTCTTGATTGTAGAGTCACTACTTTTGGCTGTAAGTAATATAAAAAAAATGGCAGAAAATGTATCTATGATGTAGGACTGTAACTTTCAAAATGACATCAGTGTTACCTTTGTCAGACTAGGTTTTGTGATTTTGACCATATTTTTTGTTGAGATCAATTTATTTTTTATAAATGTAGTTTGTTTTCAGCAAATAAATTCTGTTATGTTCTCAGTGGCTTAGTGGAAGGTCTTGAAAGCTTATAATGCCACAGCATAGATAGACTGCTGTGTAGTTTTGTGCTTAACAACAAAAACAAAAATAAAGTCCTTTTATTTGTGTATGTCATATATGATGAACTTAATCATATTGAATATAATAGGAGCCATTTGATTGTTTATCATCAGTTACTGAACTCTTTTAAACCTGACTGATGCTGCCATAGAAGGAAATTTCTGTAGTTTTCAGACAGACATAATTTGATAAGAAAACATTTTTCAGAAAGGAAAACAGTTCAAAGGAAACTATAATGAAATTTCCACATATATGGTTTATTGTACACTTTGCATTAGAATCCTTTGTTCACCTGCTATTGAAACACTGGATAGTCATTATGTTGACATACCACAAATTACTGTTAAAACTAGTTTGTTTTCTTTATATTGAAGTACATAGATTATAATAGCTTCTATCTAACTGGTTTTAGATGTTGATTATAGTATTTTCAAAGCTGAGCTTCATTAGTTAGTGTTAAGATCACATGCTGTGATATCATAAAAGAGTGACAACAAAGGGCTATAGTAATAAAACCATTAACAGATAATGAGTCATGTGAAAAATAAGATGTGAATCATTATATTTTCAAGCAATAATAATTTCTCAACAACTATAAACCTATATTTTGGGATGGATAAAAATTCTAAAAAAATGTGTCAGTGACTTTGGAGCCGTGCAGAAATTGAAGTTAGAATGGTATTTTTATTTTTGAATTACACGAAATAAATGTTATGTAATAATAAAATATCAATACTAAAATCTTATTGAATATACTGAATAGAGTGAGAATTGTATACATCTTACATTTTTGCTCTTGATATGCAAGTTGACACCTTGTAGTGTTAATTTAAGAATGCTTTGTAACCATGTTCTAGATACATGATAATTCTTTCCATAAAATGTACTCTCTAACCCATCTTTTTGTGTAAATCATATACTTGCTTTTATTTTAGGTGTGGCTATGTGCTTCGTCCAGAATTCATGTTTGATGAATCATACCATCCATGTGACAGGACAACATTAAGAGGAGTAGAACCCATCACAATAACTCTTCAGGTAAGTAAAAGATGTGATTGTTTTATAATTCTCTGTGTCGTAAACCCTAATATTTTGTAAATACAAAAGACTTCTACTGTGTGATTCCAATTTAGGTGTACCTAGAAAACTAGCTATTGATGAGAACATCAGTTCAAACCTTACTTCATACTACAACAGAGCTGTTTTTATACTTAATGGTGTTGAGCAGTGTTGGAACTTTTTAGCAGACTTGCATTTATGTAAATTAATCATTACACTCTTCACCTGAACATAACGGGTTTCTGTAAAACCAGAAAAAAAAAATATTTCTTCAATTTGCAGTAAGCATTTTGATCAATTTCATTAATCTTTGCAGTTGATATCTTTGAAAACCTGTGAGGGATTTTACAATGACTTCTTCTATCCATATGTAAAATTCATCTTAAGTTATAGTAGCTATTGGAAACTGAGACTGATTCAAATGATTTTTAGACTTTGAAGAACTTTTACTTGTGTTTCAATGGAAACCTCTTTGTACTCATGAATGTTTTACTCTGTTGTTTATGCAACAAAGATAACCATGGAAGGTAAGACTGACAACTTTACGTTAAGCTTTGTTATATTTCAATGTGACCTAGCTGAGCTAAGAATGTCAAAATGATTATTAAGCACACCTACATAACTTGCTCCATTGTTGTCAAGTGCATTGCAAGGCAATTTAACCTATGGATGGTTATCATTTAGTATCATTCTACTAAAAGGATACATTTCAACCTCCCATGTCAGTTTATCATAAATTATAGATTTTTATCATTATATTTGACATAAAAGAAATACATATATGTATGCAGCATGCAGTATTTGATAAAATGTTTGTTTTTTTAATAATTTCATATTTTATTAAGTAAAAAGCAATCATGAATTTGATATTTTTACAAGATTTTTCTCAGTTATGAAAAAAGTATTTTGTAATAATTACTTAGGATCTAATTGAAGATGAGTTAAGTTTTTAATGGGTCAATCTCTGATTATTTTTAATATGACTATAATTTTTAATTCACTGAATACCACTAAAGTTTCTTTTTTGATCAAAATATATTGGTAATTTATATTGCTAGAAAATTCATAAAATGTCAGTTTTACATTTTTTTTTGTTCTTCATATTATTTATAAAATGATTTAGGAAATAATTGTACTGTCATCATTGTAATGAATTCAAAATTTTCTCCATGTATTATTGTAGATTTTAGGTGCACGACATTTACCAAAGTCTGGTAGGAGCATAGCCAGTCCTTTCATTGAGATAGAGGTTGTAGGAGCTGACTATGACAACAACAAGTATAAAACTGCAACAATTCGTAAGTTGTAATTTTGTAATAGTTTCTACGATTCTTGTCACTTGATGATAAAGTTCCTATTAACTCGCACGTTGGTAGAATACCAAAAATCATGATATACTTTATTGGGAAACAAATTCCAAACAACAAAGCTTTGCACATATTGTTCTTTACCTTGTATATAGTGGGCTTTGGAATCATGAATTAAAGTTTAGAAAAACAGACCATTCAGATCACAGCTGCTTTGTTCAGTAATTTAAATAGACTTGATCTTTGTGGCATGATGAAGGATGGAATGCTGGACACAGGACAAATTATTTAATTTATTTGCCACAGATGTAACTAACCCTCTACTCAAGTTTAATCTAGATTTAAGAAAAACTTTGTGAATAAGTTATTTTGGAAACAATATTGTATTAATGGCATGTTGTGTAGGTACCATTGTTCCTGATATATTAAAAGGTAACATTGTAAGTCTCAACCTGCAAATTGTATCAAACATATATTAGATCAAGATTTCAAAGCATTTTACAATCCAGAACATCAAAGTTTACTTTTACATGTATGACAGATATATATATCATTTAACCGTAGCTCTAGAACCATCTTGATAACTGCAGGAAAACTTATTTAATCTACGTGATATTCAATGATTTGTAAATGGCAAAGTATGTTACAACATCAACACAGGCTTACTTTAGGTACTAGTACAGCTCTGTAGACTGGTTTCAAATTTTTCTTTGACTGAGACTTAAAATTAGATTTTTCTTATCTTAATTTTCTAGAGGAAATATGGAGCTGTAAAAGCTCATTTTTGTTAAAATTTATTATTAAAACCAGTATCACAGAGTTTAGCAGTTTAGTTTCCACTTTTCCAAAATGAGGAATGTTTTTATTCAATGATATTTTGTTTTGTTTTTAATTTATAAACTAATTTCCATTCTTAGAGATCACCATCCCTTTCTTTACTTTCATTGCTACCAAATGAGGTCAAGGTCAGAGTGCTGTTTTTTTTAATTAAGTGTTAATTGATGTTAGAGAAATATTATTGTGCAAAAATGAAATACACTGCTGTTATGGAATAAGGATTTCTAAAATTAATAACTTTCTGTTATCAAATATCTTGCTGAATATATATAGTTTAATAGGAATTATACTTATTTATCTAACAGAAAGCTTTGATGCTTGGAGGTTAAGAAACCTACTTTCTAATTCTTTTTTGTTTCTTGTCATTGTATAACAGCTTAAAAGATAAAAGGTAATTCTAAAGGAGCATCCTTGGTTCTGGTAGAAGAAAGGAATATTTTACTAATAGTATATTACTTTAATCAACTCAATTTTATGTACTAGCTGTTATTAATTATATCAAGTAAATATTCATATTTGCACTTAACAGCCTTATATGTCAAGTTTGAAACAGTTTCTTTGGCAGAGTATAATTTGTATTTTTTCTTTTAAAGAGGACAATGGCTTTAACCCTATTTGGAATGAAACCGTTGTAACTGACATCCACAACCCTGATTTGGCTCTCTTAAGGTTTGTAGTACAGGATGAGGATATGTTTGGAGACCCCAACTTCTTAGGGCAGGCCACTTTTCCTCTTCGCTGTCTAAGAAGAGGTATGACTGATAACAGAATCTGAGTATTTACTTTTATCTCTAGGTTTGTTATGATGTGTAATAAAGCATAGTACTGTAACTTATAGTGAAATGGGAACAGATTTATGTAATGTTAAGATATGTTTTAATATGGTATTAGGAGTTAATATTGTGTAGAATTGTTTACTTCTGCACCTGATTTTTGTGAGCAGTATGATTCTTATGACGTAAAAGTGTTAAATATTGCCATTAACTTGTTTTATATTTGTCCAAGTAGCTAAAATAATTTCTAATGTTTTTGGACTTTTTCACTTAAGATTTTTTAAAACAATATGGATTACTGTGTGCAAATAGCTGCTTGTTTTGATTTTATTTCTTAAAATGTTTCAAGTAACTGAATTTATTTTACTTGCTTTCCTAGAAGTACACTATCGTATTCACATAAGAACATGTTTAATTTAGAAAAAACAACAACAGATATTTGAGTATCTTCTGTCACAAGATTTATAGGAAAAAAAAGTATGTTGACCCAAAACATACTCTACAATTTTCTGATTATCAAAATCACTTTCTGTAAATGCATATTTTGTTGTTTAGTTGTATCTGATTGTGTAAGTTATTATAAGATATAGTAGAATGTTAAGAAAATATTGGATTCATTATTCTCGGTTCTGTTATTTAGTTCTATCTGATTGTGTAAGTTATTATGTGACTTAGTAGGACAGTAAAAACAATATTTGTGTCATTGTTCTGTAAAGGTTGTGTTTAATGCTATTTAATTGTGTAAATTATTATAAGTTATAGTAGAATGTTAAAAAAATATTGGATTCATTATTCCCTAAAGGCTCTGTTTAGTTCTATCTGATTGTGTAAGTTATTACAAGACTTAGTAGGATGGTAAAAATATTGTATTCACTGTTCAGTAAAGGTTCTATTGTTTAATTGTGAGTAGTGGTGTTATAACACTTAAAATGGTTCATGGTTCTGTAAATATTTTGTTGTTCAGTTGTATGTAATGGTGTAGGTTATTATGCGGGTAGTATGGTTCATGGTTCTATAAATTTTGTTTAGTTTCATGCAATGTTATTATAGCACATTGTATGGTTCATGGTTCAATAAAAATTTTGTTTAGTTGAATGTAATAGTGTATGTTTTTATGATACTTAGTTGGTTCATGGTTCTATAAAGTTTGATTATTTATGTGTAGTAGTATGTGTTATTAAGACACTTGGTATGATTTTGGGTTTTATAAAGGTTTTCGAAGTGTGCCTTTGAAGAATGATTTCAGTGAAGATTTAGAGCTGGCTTCTCTGTTGATTCACTTTAATATTCAAAATGCGAGGGTAAGTTATAATTAAAATCCACAGAAAAGCTTGTTATCCCAGGGTAAGTTGTGAAGTATTAGATCATCAAGAAATTAATGTTGCATTTTGGAACACTTTCATTAAACCCCCCCCCCCAAAAAAAAAAAACGTACATCACATATAATAGTTAAACGAACTGCCAAAACGTCACGTTAGTGTAGCCTATATAATGTGTAAAGTTTTGTATACTCTAATCCCTTATAATGATGGTACACGATGAGCATGTAATGTTGTTTGAATACAAGAAGGGAAACAATGCCTCTGTAGCCACAAAGAATATCAAAGAAGCTTATGG